CTCAGATCTGGCGACGGGGCTAGGGTTGTGCCTCTATCGAGCAGGGGGGCTCGGTTTGTAGCCGACGATGCCACGCTACTCCGGGCACGCGTCCTCGAGCTTTGTTGTGGTGGGAGACGGCGGTGATGGCTGGCGTGGGCTAGGAGGTTCGCTGGGCTGCCTCAGGCGTCTTCGGATCCGGCGCTCTCATTCCTGATCCGGTGGCCGTGTGGTACAATGACTCGGCTCGGTGTGGTCCAACAACCTCTCCCACCCCATTTGTGGCCTGATGCTCCCTCGTGGTGCGCGGATCCGGCACTATAGGTGATCCCATATTTCTACGCCATATCTGGCAGGTTTTGCCCGGAGTAGTCGTGGGTTAGGGGGATTTGGGCCGGTTCGTCTTGCTGGCTGGCGTGGTATCTCTACTCCTAATGGAGCAGTTGGTAGTCTCGCTTCCAGTTTTTTTTCGTCCCACCACTTTCGTCCGGGTTTTTTCGTAGGTTAACCGTCGTAGATTTTTTTCGATGTTGGTTTCTTATTCACCGGTTTATTTACCCCTCAGCTCTTTCCTTGCAAATCAGCACTTTTCAAACGTGCACGCAATCACGGATCTAAATTTACTAACTTATCCAAATCAACCGATACCTTCCATTATTGCAAATTTCTTTAGGAAACAAATAATAGATTTTAAGGAAACAAATAAAAGATTTTAAAGACGCATCATACTTTACTAACAATCACTAAAAATCAAATCTAAATTAATTAACCTTACCTTAAATCACTCAATCACTTCAATTAGAAAACATTTTCTTTCCTAACTGCACCCCGCTTAGTGTGCACATAACAATCCGAAGTAATTAGAGTCACATGATTGAATCCATTTATTTAGAGCGATATGATTGCGTTCCGGGATGGAGGCCATGATTTCGTCGAGGTCGTTGCTGCCTCCTACACTCAGGGTGTGTTGCCGAGATCGAGGCGAGCATGAGGAGCTGTGGCCACCGCCGTGGTCACCCCATCGCAGGGGATGGAGCACGCCGTCGGCCTACAGCTTGTGGAGATCACTGTTGCTCTTCAGGTCGCGTGGTGACCGGATCTTGCCGATGTGTCCCTCCCCGACGACCTCCTCTTCGCCCGGTTGGCTGGCATGGATCTCGCCACTACTGCCCTCAACTTCTCTGCCTCGAGCTCGACGGTCAGCCACCATGGATCCCCCAGCTGGAGGGTCACGTGAACCAGCCGTCCTCCCATGCTGCAGCGGCGAGAATGTGACATGGCTCTCCGTACACGAAGAGTGGAGTTCGGTCAAGTACTTATATACTTGGCCTCTACTGCTGATCCATGTACATGGAGAAGAACAGGCAACCGCTCATTCATGCTTCGTTCCACTCATTTGCGCTACATTACTGGAGGTGACATTTCTCTATCTCTCTATGTTGTAACAAGCCTGCTGCCTGCATAGTTAATGGATTTTTTATTTAAATTTATCGCTGCTTAGTGCTTTGTTGCAATTGTTCACCCAAGATTCTTATATATAATCTGAGCGTATGTAGGCATACTTAGCTTTGCTATTCCATTTTTTCCTGGCGCATAGAAATAAGAGTATTGTCCAGGTTAGGTATTCAATTGAGTATGGTATTTGGATTGCTATCAGAATGTCTTTTCTATGCATGTGATTTCTCATATCTGATTATAATATTTGTGAAGTCGTGCATTGCACGTGCACTTGGAAGCGGGCCCGTGGCCCGCGCTGGACGGCGCTGACGCCGACCCGAACCACCTCGTCCGCGTATTCTTGGAGTTGTGGCTGGTCGATTTACATGAAATTAATTCCCTCAATTCTGGTGGCAAATATAATACACATAATTCATATTGTTATGCACTAGCGTGTATGTGTGAAATAGATGGATTATGGTCCCGTATCCAATAAGATGGATATGTGTGTGTGTTAGAGCGAGAGGGAGACGGGGATAGAGAGTGAGGAAGAGGGAGGGAGAGTGTGGTTCTGTGTGTGTGTGAAGATTTGATGATAAAAAAAGTCGCCAATGTCGTAATATTGAACTCTTAAAGTTAATGTGGCCCCGTTGCAACGCACGGGCGTTTTTCTAGTTGCCTCTGTTGGTCGGTGGTGTTCGCGAGTTGTGCTGCCTCTTTACTTGGCCATCCAACTGCAATGGGGGTGTCGTTGGGGCTGGCTGGTGCCGTGATTTTGCAGATGGCGGCCACGGTGGCAATACGGTCCCTACGAGGGGGCATCGTGGCTAGGTGTTGAGTCTTCTCTGTATCGCCACCAGTGATGGAGGACGTTGTTTTCGTCTGTACTGGTGTGCCTCGTGGTTAGATAGCGACCATGGATGCGGTCTTTTCTCCGATGCGAGGTGAGCCATGGCAGTGGTGGTGGTGGTTCTCCTTGCCGGTTGTGGGCTCATGCCGTCATGCATCGGATCCTTGACACATTGGCGTGTCTGGCATGGGTGGTCTTTGCGCGTGCTCGCTGCCAGACAACCCTTCGGATATATCGAACCCAGTTGGGGTTGCCGTCAATGGTGCCTTGCCTTTTGACTACGGCGGTGACCAGCACGTGCGGTGAGGGTGGTCCATGTGACGGGGCTCTATGGTGTGTCTCTGCATTGTGATGCCACTCGACTCCAGCCGGTGGCACACATGCGTCGTGGTGTCGTCTCGGCCGTGCGCAAGCCTTCGATGACACCCACAACACATGTGGAGTCGGCACGTTGTGTGGTCTTGAATGTGCGTTGTCTTTCGATTACGTCGAGGGTGCAATCTCGATTATGGGTTTCGGTTGACCAAGGCCCTTCAACTCCGGCGATGCTTCGAGCTGGGTTACCCCTCCCGTTGTCAAGTCATGCGATCTCTACCCTATGATTGTCGTGCTTGGGTCATGATGAGCTTTCTTATCAATTGTCTCCGAGGTTCTCGGAGTGACTCCCTTTTCTCCCACTTGTGTGTGTGCGCGCGCGCGCGCGCGTGTGTGCGTGTGTGTGTGTGTGTGTGTTTTCGTGTGTTCTTTTCCTTCTTCTCTCATGTAGCCTGTGTAAACTCTGGTTCCCTTGAACCCATCTTGTAAAGGTTGTAAAGCCTCATAGGCAACTATGAATCAAAAAAATTCAGCTAGGACCCCTCAACCATTCAAAAAAAAGCCAGAGCCGCCGCAGCCCTTGCCCCCCTTTGAAGCCAACCGTCTTCCAAATCAGGCAACCCCACCCCCCGACCCATCCTCATGTGCATGTACCTCTTGTAGCTGAACCGTCAAGTCTCTATCTAGGCATTCGCTAGAACTAGTAAGGATGCACGTGCACGCATGCTCAATCAACTTATGTGAGTTTAAGTGGAACACACACAAGTACAAAATTAAGTCTGTATGTTACGATAATATAACAATGCGCTTAACATGAGTAAAAAATTATATAATTGCACTCGAATTCTATAAACATGACATTTCAAAAATAACATGGTATATTTCTCAACTCTCACATAAAATAATTATATAAAAATTCTTCAACCATCCACATTCTGTCTCACTATTTGTTGCATTCAAATACTGCTCTAATAAATTGAAGTCTATTCACTGTACTTGCAGGCGACGTTTGACATGGTCCTCATAATTTTTTTTGCAAGGTAATATGCATCTCATTCGTATCATAAAGAACAAAGTATAAGTCACGTAAAGACCGCTATGATAAAACTGAAAAGATAGCAGAACATTTCTGAACTTGACGCCAATGCCCGTCACCACCATAGCAGCCACCGAAGAAAAGAATGACGGATCACCTCCTCACCCGAGCTCGACGCGGCTCTATCACTGATATGCAGCTTTGCGGACCTTCAAGGTGGCTCACCAAAAGTGAAGCCATCGTCGTTGAACAAATCAGACTGGGGCAACACTCCAGACACGTCATCGAACTCCAGATCTGGCACCCCACCACAACTAAGACGCCGAAGAAGGAAACCATACCTGTCCTCCACGAACCACGAACCCAGCACATCTTCCGTCTTCCAGATGTCGTCGATGCAGACCACAATCTGCATCCTCTCCTGGACTACCTCCCAAGCTCCACGCCGATACTGGAGCAAACGCCGTCGCAACGGCGGAGCCCGAGGACACAAGTCCGGTACAAGGATGTCGTCGCCGCCATGCCATCCTTGCTTGAAGACTGGTGTGTGTACAACCCCCATGGTTGCAACAACGGCCCTAGCCATACGCCTCGCGCACGTAGCACGTCAGCATTGATCCCACAGGTTGCATGGACTGAGTTAAGCGGCTGTCCCACGTCCATGTGGGACCCACGTGTTAGTGGGCGCGAGAAAATACGTTAAGAATTACTAGTAAGCATGCACGTACAACGCACGCATAAACGTCTGTCACATTATATTAAACATATGTAAGTAGTTCGCAACAAATGCTATATGTGCTCATCTCAAAAACAAATAAATGAAAATATGGTTTGTTAATGAATAAGGATTATCTGAGATGATAAGTACAACAATTTTCAAAATATTCCTAGGATAACACCTTTAATTATTTGAAGTGCATTGTCTGATTGTTTACAAAAAAAAGAACTGAATTGAACCGTGGGCAAAAATGGATCTTCATCAATATTAAACATGGTGCTTGAGCCGGTCAAAACAAAAATTCAGAAACTAGGAGAACAACATGCATGATAAAAACCAGAAAATACATGGATACCTATGACGTGTTTGCTCTTCATATGAAATCTCAGCAACTCCCAAATTCATTTAGTCGACTCTTATTCGGCTATTATGAGCATAGTTTAAATAACAATAGTGCATGAAAGAAACCGATACTGACAAGGAACTCCTTTCAGAAAATCAATTCTTAACTCGTGAGGACAACTGAATTCCCTTCAACTTGAGTGAGAAAAGGGGTTGCTTTGGTTTCCTGAAAATTATGAAACCAATGCAAAGTTAACAAAATATGCCTGAATAGAATTGAGAGTTGTGAAGTAAAAATCAGAATACATCTCCACCAAGACATCTCTAATGGAAACACAATTTATTACATTGATCTTATATGCTTCTTTAATTATGGATGATCAACTTTAATCAAGATCTCTGTGATGAAAATAACAACCACTCTCACACCCGCACTTAAATATTGTAAATATAGTATTGCAATCTCAAACACAATATTGCAGCAGCAATTTCGTTGACATAGCTGTACTATTGCTAGTTCGACGGAACAAAAGGATATACACCAGCGAGAAACATGTACCAAAGGAAAGTACCTTCTTTTTTTCGAGAACACCTCGAAAGGGGCAGGGGGTTACTGCATTTCATTAAGAAGAAGAGAGTTGGTCCAGTTTATAAGAAAAACCGGACCCGAAAACCTAACATTCACAGCTAATCAGGGATAACCAAAAGAAACACATGCCGACCCCAGGGCCGCGCTCCAGCCGAGCCGCCGGCTCCGTCACCCAAGCAACCCATAGCCGACACCCAACAACCAAGACCGAAGCCGCCGCTCCGGCATCCACGCCGACCCCGAGGTCGCGCACCAGGCGAGCCGCCTGCTCTGCTGCCCGAGCAACCGGAGCCGACACCCTACAACCATCTCCGGAGTCGCCGCTCCGACGTACAGACAGAAACCTCACACGTCGACCCCGAGGCCGCGCACCAGGCGAGCCGTCAGCTTCGTCACCCGAG